GATTGAAACGTGCACAGTAAAGAGATTAAATGATTAAATCTTTTCACTACCAACCAATGCACCACAAGTGCCCCTGTCGGTCATTTTGGCCAGCCAATCACTTACCGCGGTACGGCGCAGGGGCTTGTGTATAGTTGCGTGCGGTATGGGGTTTGTACCGTGAACTTTGAATGGCTGCATCTGTATTTCTAATGCCTCCAGATATAATACAAAAGCTTATTCAGAATTAACCTTCAGAATTAAGAGCCTACCTGTATATAAGGCAGTTACGAAACTAAATTTTAATACATCCATCCATTTCTAAATCAGTTTATCCTATACAGGGTTGCAGGGGTGCAGCAGGCAATGAAAACAAGGCAGGATACATCCTGAATAGGATCCCAGACCATCACAGGGCACACAAACACACACATTCACACAGAGCCAATTTTTCCAGTCATAGTAGCTCTATATCAGTAGAAAAAGTCTATAGCCTATTGTTTTACCTTTTACTCAACATCTGAAAGCAGCAGGTACCTGAAGCTACAAGAATCAATAGCAGCAAAGGAATTGTAGGAATGATGACATAAATAAGCAGCAGACCTACGACAAAGAAAACAATAAAAAAATGAAAAACAGTTTATACTGTTAAATTCAATGTTAATATCAGAAAGCAGACAAAAAGAAGGAGCAGAAGTCATCTGGTTACTGGTGATGTGGGATCACAGTCGTAGAATGCAGTTGTAAGATTATTTAATAAAATGCACTATAATACATATATGTTGTGTAATATTATAAGTATTGACACCTGAAGAAGGCTTCACAGCCAAATATTGTGTTTTCTCTATCTTTCAGCATGGAATAAACCTATTACTTGCTCCTTTGCATATTATAAGTATGCCTTCCTCTTTAAGTGCATGTTCTAAATATATTCAGGTCATTGCATGCTGTTGTACACAGAGTATGGCACTCTGTGTATGGTGATTCGAAGGAGTTACCAGAGGGTCCTGCTGGTATGACTTGCTGGTCTTCCTCATGTGTGTTGGACATCTCCTTTCCAGTACTGTCCTTGGTAGGTGAGATTTCTGAAAATAAAAGTGAAACAACAGAAATGACTTACTCTATGTTTAATAATAACATTTTTTATAAACCCAAGGACACTGTACACCGTGAATAAAGACAAATAAAAAGCAAATAAAACATAAAAGAAAAAAAGAAGAAAAAAAAACAAGAGCATACAGAAACAAGTAAATGTTTATTCCATGCTGAAAAGAGAAAAAAGGAGGGAAAAAAGACCCACTGACCCACCTGAAGAAGGCTCCTTCTCTTTTTAGCATGGAATAAACCTTTACTTGTTTCTTTGCAGCCTACATATGCTGATGGAGCTACCCACTTGAAGAGCAACATGTTTTCACAGTTGTAGGCAATCAGCGTACATGTTAAGGTAAGTTTTGAGTTTGGATTTGAAGAGAGTTAAAGACGTTGTCTCTCTTCAGGTCTGAGAAAGGTCATTCCATAACACTGGAGCAGCAAAATTTAATTTAACTTTTTTCATTGACTATAACACTTTGAAAATAATCCGTTCCCTTAGTCCTGATTCGTTCCGAGTTCCAAAAGTTCGTAATAAAGACAATCCGCGATGTATCCTAAACCAGTGTCCGTAATCCAAAATCATAAACCTTTCTCTTTGCAGTCATTCGTTGTTCCTTAGCCCGATCCTTAACAAGCACCTCTTTCCACTCTTTTCCTCCAAAACGCATTCACCTTACCGGCTTCCACCCTGTTCACTGCCTCCGGGCCACTTATATTCCGGTTCCTGATGTGTCTCAGCTGTGTCTCGTTGTTTCTTAAGGTAGACCCTTTCCATCTACTGGTCAGCTGATTCTTTTTGTCCGCCATCTTGCTAAGGTCAATCTCTAGCATTTTCAGCGTTTCGTTTCGGAAATACCTGTTAGAGATGACCCTTCCCCGTGTCCTCTTACAAAACCCAGAAAGGCATGTATCACTAGATCAGACCAATTAAATGAACAACAAATATGTCTTTATAAATATTTTTGGGAAATATACAATGGCATACTTGTAGCAGAGATAGCTCACAAAGCCTGAGATGTTATTTCTTGTCTTCCTATAGACAATATATTAAAGTACTTCAGAGTCTAACCCATCGTTGATTTGCTAACCATTAGTACCATTAGTTGCAATAGGTTGGTAAAATTAATGAAGATAAGCAGCAAAATCATTGAAGCAAATCAAATAAACCTAAATACTCTAATTTGCTCTATTCAAACAGAAGATTCTAAATAAGTCTAAAAGCATTATGGGGTGTGTGGCATACCCCTTGTATCACTGTGATTTTACATTAATCCTATCAGGGAGATGTATTACACTCTGTCACCAGGTGTAAACGTTTCAACTTGACTGAACTGCTCTGCAACATCTTGTTTCTGATTAAGGCAATCAATCAAAATGTGAACAGTAAACATTGCTAACCTTTCTGAATATGAAAAGTAAATGAAAGGTAGTAAACTAGTCATTTTTGAAAATCATACTGAGGAATTAAGAAATGTTAAACTATTCTTCCTTAATCTACCTTGCTTCTTGACAAAGAATTAAACTGTCCACCCTTTCTGTCCCTGCAAGTCCCACAGGATATGTGCTTTTTAAGCATGACTAAGAATAACATGAGCACAATGCCTTATGTACCGTTGGCCACATATACACTTTTCTGAAGCTGTGCTCTAAAACTTACCATGCATAGAATAGTTTGTCCGTTAACCCAGCTCTAGAACATTGTATGTTAACATTGTGTTATGTGTTGTCTACACCAAACTTTGTTACACTGTATAAAATGACTAACCTTATAACCATTCAGAGAGACTGGCCAGTGCAGGCTGCTCTACCGTATGCATACGAAATAAACAGCTTTTCTTTCACAGACAGCAGGACTCAACAACAATCCCAGCTGAGGTGACTCAGTTTGGCGATGGAGGAGAAAAGTTAGGCGCCGCACTTGTGATGAGGTAAGGATTCCTCTTTGTAAAAAGTCCCTTCTCCTCTTCACGGCGCTGACTGGTATTTTCCTAATGCTACAGCGAGTACAGTAAAGAACAAAGAGCCTTTGTGTCTGTGCAAGAAGAGCTGTTTCATAGGGTCCATTCAGGACGTGCGGTAAACCCAGGGTCGTAACCTGGTGCGCGGTCCCTCTGTTAGCCTCCGAGTGCAGGACAGAGGACTTCTGTCTGTTAGCCTGTGATTGCGGGACAGCGGGGGGGTGGTTATCAGATCAGGTAGAATCTGATGGTTGTTGAGAAGAAAAAAAGAGAAAAAATGATTTGGTGCAAGGAGAAGTTAATGGAGGTTTCTGACTGGGTGTCAGAGAAAAAGAAACTAGGAGAATGCGAAAAGAAAGTGAAAAAGAAATATGGCTTGTCAGACGGTGTGTGGACAGAGCAAGAGTGTAGAAAAGTGTAGGAGTACTGGAATAAAAATAAGCAAACGTAGTCAGGGCTCATATTAGGAAAACACCTAAGAAGTAGACAGAATATTATTGAAAAGACTGAATGGGATAAAACACAGAGGTCCCTGACAGAAAAATTAAAAGCAATGGCAGAACGAAATGAGGTTCTGTTTGCAGAAAAGAATAAAGTTAAGGGAGAAGTTGATAAACTGAATAAGGAAGTAGAAAAATGTTGCGACATAAATATGACACCCAAATTATATCTCGACCTGGGACCGTTCCAACAAGGTGGGGGATCAGATTGGGATGATACCTGATATGACTGGGACCGGGATGGGGTCGCGCCCACCCAGTCTAAAATTGTTCCTGACAACAAGAAGCGGGGGCATGTAATCAGACGGAGACAAATAAATGCCTAGGGTGGGAGATCCCTGGGGCAGATCATACATTAGAAAATATAAACCTAAGCCTGAAGATATAGACTGTTGGGCTAAAGAGGTTCCATACCCTAAATCTGGTGTGCAGCAGACACGGAGTGCTCTTCAAGAATTAAAAGATACATATGGTATCAAACCAATAAAAGCTGCAATGATATTGAGACAAGTAGGAGAGCAAAAGGCAGGACAACTAAGAACCTCATGAAAGGATCATAGTGATAAAAGGGGGTGGGAAATTGTGTGGGCGTTCTTGAAGGAACACTACCCACCCCTGACAGATTGGAAAAAGGTTTCCGCATGTCAACAGAAGGAAAGTGAGGACGTTTCAGATTTTACCGAAAGGTTAATTACATTATGTATAGAATATTCAGGGCTAGCAAATGAAGAGGAGGTAAAAAATGATACATAGTCAGTGATAAAACAGATTTATCTGAGCAGTTTGAAGCCAGATATAGCTACAACCATTATTTTATGCCACCCCGATATAAAATAAGGAGATGAAAGATTCAAAATGGTTACCAGGGAAGCCCGCAGAGTAGAGCAGAGCATGTTTGCCAAAGTGAGGGCTGTGCAAATGGGAGGTAGTAATGTAGCTTCTCAATGTAAGGGCAATGGAGGCCCTGAGGCCAAAGGAATGGTGTGCTTTTATTGCAATAAACCAGGTCACATTGCAAGATATTGCCTCAAGAAGAGGGCAGAGGCCGGTGAAAACGGCAGGAGAGACGATAAAGACTTAGCTTTTAATCCAACAGGTTGGGAAGAACAGAAGGGGAAAATTCTCTGTCTCTGTTGAAAATACCACAGAAGCAGAAAAAAGGGCTTTAAGAGACGTGTTTGATTTAAAGTAGACAGGTTCTTTGTGGCCTCCCTAAGTTTGACACAGAGCCTAGGGAAAAGGGAACTAATGTTACAATGTACTGTAAATTATGTCCCGATATTGCTGTTATGGGACACATGAGCTCAAATATCCTGTTTATCTACTAAAACTGCAAAACAATGTCAGATACAATACTCTGAAATGTTTGGAGGCTACTGGGGTAGGGGGGCAAAAAGTGTGTCTGAAAGAAACACAAGCTGTTACCATTCATATGGGGGTTGATATACAGTTTAAATTGCCCATGTGGATGAGGGACACTCCAGATCTACTGTGATGGGACGCCCTGCAATATTTATAGGGAGTTTCGTTGTTAGTACAACAAAGTACTGTACAAGTAAACATTTGGTATCTGCAAAAAGATTACATTAAAGGGCATGCTATATGGTCAAAAGACAAGGATGAGTGTGAGCTTTTGTTTATGCCACCTGCTATGTTTACAGGGAGTTGGCCTCCTTATACGAAACCACATAGGATTAGTCCCGTGGTGGAGGAGGGCATACAACCTGTGGTACAGAAATTGCTGAAACAAGGAATCATTAAGAAAACTCAAAATAAAAGAAATAGCCCAATTTGGCCAGACTAAAAGGCAAGTGGTGCTTGAAGATTCACTGTCAACTACCAGGTGGCAAACCAACATATTTACAAATTGACAACCTTTGTGGCAGATCCCTCTGCTATTTTCAAGTTACTGCAGCCTGACCAAAATGTGTTCTCAGTTGTAGATATGGTTAATGGTTTCTGGTCAGTGCCATTGCACCCAGATGTAGAGGACTGGTTTGTATTTGTGGCTGATGGGGATCAATGTACCTGGACTCAACTGCTGCATGGGTTTCATAATAGTCCAGCAGTGTACCATATGGCCTTGAGACAGCAGATGGGGGAACTACCCCCACTCTCATCGGTAGTTATACAATATTTTGATGACAGTTTGGTAGCCACGTTTGACAAGGAAACCCACAAGCAAGAGTAATTACTCATTTTAGATCATCTGACCAGCACGGCACACAAGGATAGTTTAGAAAAAGCTTAAATATGCTCAGACTCAGTGATATATTTAGACCAGAAGATCATCCAGGGGAAACTAGAGCTCACAGAAGATTGGGCTCAAGCAATTCGTCACTTTGCCTCCTAGTACTGTAAGGGAACTCAGGGCATTTCTAGGACTATGCAACTTTGATCACTCATGGGTAGATTCATTTTCAGAAAGAGCCCAGGCTCTAACAGACCTGTTGAAAGGTGGGGGACAGTCTGATGACCCTAACTTTTTAACTACCAAAGCACAAGAGGCCTTTAATCATTTGAAACAAGCTCTCT